TCTCTCTCTCTCTCTCTCTCTCTGCGTGTGTGTGAAACAAAGCGACGGGGAGTCGTGCGCCTTCGCACTAGAGTTTACGGTATGTTAAATACAGGTGCGTTGCACATCCATACAGCACAGATCGCTTGACGGAGAGTGAAACTCTGAAGCGCTCAGTCAGAGTGTTCTGTGAGTGAAAATATATCTGTGCTATACTTAACCTCCAACTCACACACTGGCGAGTAAAATCTGAGAATTTATTAGCCATTGGCTAATATTAGACATCATTTAGTCGCCCAGAGTAAGATTTAGTCGCATATGCGAGTGATTTACTCGCAATGTAGAGGGTTGTGATGGAGATTTACTACCAATCACGGAACCTGCTTTACTGACGAGATGCGCATGACAATCACATGCGATTAATTGCACAGCCCTACCCTAGAGTATATTACATTAGGTGTTGGTTAGTCTATGTGAGTGCATGGGGCAGATAAGTGCATGTGTGCAGTCTAAGAACAGGAAATGCCCTTTATTAATCAGCCAGGATCCAAAAGGAAAATGCAAACTCAAAATATGCATTCTATTTTTAAGTATTTGAATTTCCACACATTGTGCATGCACAATTAGGAAAAACAAATCTGAACTCAATTTGCAATGGATTTTGAGTTTTGACCACAATATGCTTTCAGTATCTTGTATGCGATTGATGCGCAGTAGTGTTTGTTGTAGTGCTGGGCGGTATGACCAAAAATTGATATCACGGTATTTTCCAAAATTATACTGGTTTCACGGTACATGACGGTATTTTTCTTTCATTTTCATGTATGACCGGGTGTTAACCATATTTTCTACTGATTGAGAGAGGAAATACTGCAGTATATTGACTTGGAATGCCCTATTTTACTGTCATGATGAGTGAATATTGTCAAAAAATACCACACTAAATAGTGACTAAACACGACCCCTTTTAATACATGTTAACCAGGAGTCACTCTCATTTATAATCGCGGCATCGTCTGATAAAATCAACATGCATCTACACTAAAGAGCGGCTATGCGGTTGTTTTGGCTATATTACTTTTTTGTCTCATGCAGCGCACTGCCTGCGTCTGAGTAACAAACAAAAAAAAACAACAAACAAAACAGTGCATGTGATATTAAAAGATGAACTACGCTCATATTTATAATTCCAAACAATCAGTAAGCGACAGGTGCTTGGAAACGC